GTTTAAAAACAACAATAGTGTGCAATCTTTCCATACTCAATAATAATCTTAGAACTCACACCGGCAGAAAAATCCACTCGTTGGAGCTTAAAATGTGCTGTTCGCCACAGGTGAAACACAATCCACATATGCCAGATTCCATATGTTTGCTCCTCCAGAAAGACAAGCGCTCGTTGGAGCTAATCCACGGCTATTCTATAAAGAACTTCTGGTTTCAACATTTTATTAATTGAAGCTACCTGTGCTAACTATTTCCATCAATTCCACCAATAGAGAAAGTAAAAAAGTCATCAGTATTTTGTTATAAAGAAGGAACAAAAATAGCTTTAAACAAAGTAGACAAAATAGTGGATGTATAATGTATCTTGTTTATATTCGACACGGATCGGCAAGTTAAAATTCTATCCGCGGGCCGGATAAAACCTTCCGGCGGTTCACAGTTGGCCCGCGAGCCGTAGTTTGCCCATCCCAGGTTTAACCGAACTTAAAATAATTTAAATTAGTCTCAAAGCACTTTAGTGCTGATGCTTTCTAGTATTGAAGCACCACAATACAGTTAGTTAAATCTAATTGGTCTAGTTTTCTTACAAAATCTTCAAATTTCGCCTCATTGAGAAAAGTAAAAATTGAATAAATATAAAATCAATGTTTTAATTTAAACCAACTTATGAAAAATCATGTTTTTCTTTTTCACCTTATTTTTCGTTAATTCATGGGTTTATCAATATCAGAGTTTAGGAAGAGATAATAATCGGAAATTTTTGATGCATTTCCTGCCTTTTGGTTCATTATAATTTCTCACTCTTTCTATGTACAATAACATAAATTTAAAAATCATCATTACTTTCATAAGTGAAATTTAGGGTTTTCTCAAACATGCATTTTTCTCTTTTACATTTTACTAGATAAAAATTTAATGTTTTATGTAATTTTTTTAAAAGATGCCTTGAATATGTAATTAAATTAGTAAACAGTATTATTATGATTAAACTTAATAGAGCATGTTTTATATTCTTCTTAATAAAAAATTTCATATTGCAATCATTATCCAAAAAATTCCAGTATTTCTTTCAATTTTGGAAATTTAGCCTTTTTTCCTAGATTAATGATTCTTTGAAGTTGTTAAGGAAAAAAAACCACGTTTGTGTTAGAATCTTTAGTTAAGGACAGTCCATAAGCATGTGCAAATAGAAAACCTGCTTTGCGGAGATAGCTATTATTCCCAACTGTTAGAAATCTTTTCTTTGCTAATAGAACTATACTTGCGTAGATTTCGAAAAAGATATATTAATTATATTTCAACCGACCGGTCTGTGTAGGGGGCAGGGAGCTGTCCTTGCATCAGAAAGGTCCTGGGTTCGAATCCCGGGCAAGGCATGGATGCTTCTTTCTCTCTCTGTGTGTTATATGTCCTTTCTCCTTTGTGTGTGAATGTGACCCACCCTATAAACGGGTTGTGGTTGTGTGAATAGTGTGGCAGAAGTTGAATTCCTAGTTATAGATGGTGCCACTGAAAAACAGGAACAATCGCACCCCCACTGCCTAAACAGGCATGCGACAAAAACGAAAATTATATTTCAATTATTGTGTATAATGGGATTACTCTCCATTATGAACAGAATATTGCGTATATAGAGAAAACTGTACTTCAATGAGATAGTTTTGTTGCATAAAATTAGAAAATCAGTTGTTGAGAACAGAGCGATTATTGCGTATAGTTAGAAAACCACTCAATGATGACGTTGATATTACTACGTAAAATTAAAAAATCAATTAAAAACCTTTAATTGCGAAACCCTTAATTGAAGACAGTTAAAAACCTTTAACTGCGAAAAGGATTGTCACAATGCACTGTCAAGAAAATATTATTAGTAATGGATATATCTCTAAAGTTTCAAAAAATATTATATTTCCAATTATGAAATTGTATTTTACATTTGTCTTTCATCTTACTTATAAGAAACAACTTTACTGCGAAATATAGTTTTACATTAGCTAATAACAAAGAAACTAACAGAGCTCTTTTAACCATTAGTAGTAAAATCATTAAGACTGTTTTATTTCATATTGCATTAAGGGAATGGAAATTTTTTGTATTTTTCAGATGATAGGAGATTTTCTTTTTCTGTTCATTTTCGCTTTAGGCAATTAATTAACTTCCTTTCCAAGGAAATGACCGTTTCTTTTTCGATCTCGGAAAAAAGAAATCAGCTCTAACTAAATGAATTTGATGAAGAATTTGAAATGTTAGTAAAAGATTGACTGACATTTTTTGATAAGAAGTATTAAGCTTCAAATCATTTAAACGGATTTTAGTGTATATACGATTGATTGAATAAAGTATAAAGATAAAATGGGTAAGTTATTAGTATTTAAGAGAATATTTATACACTAAGAATGGTCAAAACTACCAGAATATGATAAAATGTGCATGTTTCTGGCTATGGAAATACCAAAAAGCTCGGAGATTTTTAATGAAGTACTTTGATAAATATAACTATGTTTACTAACTAGTTTTATAATATGAGATAAAATTTGATAAATGTGGTAAAATGTTGAAACTTTTTCATGATATCTTAGAACTTAGTATAAAAACAGTTGAGAAAAATTTACTTAGTATAAAATTTACTTTTTTGTTTTGTATTTCTTCCTCACTGTGGTAATAAGAACTATAATTTTGAACACTTGAACTTCCAGCTAACCGTTACCATAGCAAAGGAAAAATTACCATACGAATGGTTTAAATACTTTGGTTTTATTTATCAAATATATTGTTTATTTTATTAAAAATTTTATTACCATAGAGGATGTATAATTTTTTTGCTCGATAAATAATAAGCAATACAGTTTTTTGCTTTTAATATTCATTGCATTCCGTCTAGTATTGTTAGCAATTTTTGTTATTTAAAATAATAAGATAATTTTAATGAGATAAATTGTTCATTATTAGTTTTATCGACGTCTACAATATTATGATCATTTAAACATAAGTAGAAACACAAGTAACTAGAAAACAATTAATTTTTGATGTTAGGAAATGAAATCTAAATTTCAAAGCATGCATTACTTATAAATAGTAATATCTTTGATAACTAAAAATTAATACTCTGTGAAACTGCTATTTTAATTAATTCTGTAAACAATTTTTTTTTGCTTTAAATCTAAGAGTCTTTGCAATATTAGAAAATTTTTCAGTTAACTGTTACTAACTAAGAGAAATTTTTAAATAAATACTAAAAAGAAAACTTCAGAAGCTTGGACAACTCAACTTTAAATAATACAATTGAATCAGAACCTGACCTTGTTCCACTTGTTGGCAAACTTGTCTTCATGATACAAATAACCGATAATTGCTGATTTTTTTAATAAAGTTTCTGATATTTATAAATAAGATAATTATAAGGAAAGGTTTCAGAATTTAAAATTCGTTATAAAAAAAGATGAGAACAATTAATTATTATAATTAATAGTTGGCAATGAAAAGTCTTAGTAATATAACTTAATAAACTTAAAGTTCTTGAAACTAAAATGCCGTTTGGACGAATAAGAATATTAATGCTTAACATTATCGCTGACGGTGTACGAAAATACTTAAATTTTCGTTAATTTATGTTAGCCTTATTATTTGTTTCAGCATTCTTTACTTCTGTATTTTCAGTGGTTACGCCTGCTTCTGTTTTTTAAATATTGTTTGAAATTGCGGTACTTCACTCCCTGATAGCGCATGTTTTTATCTAAAACAATGGTGTTTATCAATGAAATTTCGTATTTTCGATACTGTGCCTAAAACACAAAAAGCTAGAAATATGTTATTGTTTAAAAACATCCCTTACAAATTCGTAAAGTGTAGAATTAGTTTAAAAACTGTAGAATAAAACTGTAGAATTAGTATAAGAATACGATTCAAATCGATGTCCCCGTTCTTGAGTCATAGGCATATGTAGTACATCCGGATGGACTTTCACTTTTACAGAGAGAGAAAAGGGAAGAGATGTAACTTTTTAGGCGTAGTCTTCTTATTCAGAACTCTAAATGTGACCACATTGTATAAACAACTGTTAAATTTTAAAGCATTTTTTCACGGAGGAAACAATCCTGTTTAAATTACCGTAATGAATGGTAATAAAATTTCTGGTAAAAAAAATCTTTGTCAATACAACAGAAATATAGTGTATTTCAACAATCATTTGGTAAGTTTAAAATTATAATTTTTATTACTACACATTTCGTAAAAATTGCAAAACTGGAATGTAAATGTAACCAAATAAATGGCTTTATGCTGTACTTGTAGGTATCATGGTAAAAATACTGAATTTTACCAATTTTACAAAATTTTATCACATATCATAAAATTATATTTTATTGTTAATTATTACAAAATCATTACCAAAGCACATGTCAAAAATTACCCTGCTTTTTGATGTTTCCGTAAAACCAGAAACATGAAAAATTTTACCACATTGAGGCAATTTTTATCATCTTTTTCTCTAAAAAATGGACTAATTTTTAAAATGTACCGAGTAATTTATTCAAAGGAACGCTATGACTTCATTATTTTATTTAAATTGATAATTTTTTAATAAAAAGAACAATGCTCATAAGGGGAGTGGGATAAACGGAATAAAATGCTATGCCTATTTTTATAGACACGCATTTTGAGCTGTGTCTATTTTTGCAAACATTCTTTTCGAGCTGTATCCAGATTTAAAAAGTTACCGATGATTAATCTTCCTGCATAAACTTGAAAAAGTATATTTGTTCAAATTTATTAATAAAAATTAAAGTTAAAACTTAAATGTTGTTCTCCATAAAACCAATTTTTCATTTTAAGAGTAAATTAGAAAAATAAAGCATTTTTTAGTTACACATTAGATAAAATACTATACTTTGAAAAGAAGAAAAATATTTTTCGGTCAGGAGAGTGCAACATATACTCATTATCCGATAGATGGCCAACAAACACAAAATGTTCTTTGGCAGCCTTCCCAAACTTGGAAGAAGGTAAATCTTTCCGGTGAATGCATCAGAACAGGAAGAGCTTAGCTCTGCGATTCTAAATATATTTTCCACGTGACCTTTAAAAGGTATTTGTTTAAAAATTTTCCTTTTCCATTTAAGCAATATATATTATATCTAAATTTAGGATTTTTAAGCAGGTTTTGTCCAAGGTTTCCTAATATATATATAT